GCAGGCTGATGCCCCTCAGTACTTGTGCTCCGCGCAGCATCTGGCTCCAAACGCCTGCCTTTGCGGCCCAGCCTCCCGCCGGCTCCTCCATAAACTGTCTGCTTTGGACAAGTTAATCTGCTCACAGGTCTATGAACGTGCATTTCCTTTTTCCCACTTTGCGCCTTTGTCTTGCAGTTTTTACCCTCCTGGAACACCCATTTGTTGATTTAGCGTATGAAAAGGGCTCGTTACATTCCCGTTTCTGCTTTTGCATCGTTTCCAGCTAGACCTAAGTGGCAGTCATGTCCATGTCTCTCTGCCTTACTGTCAGTTTCATATTTTTTATACCTTTTGGGTTTAGGAGTTCTTTTGGTCTTCTTTCTCACCTCCCACGGCTTTTCCTTCCTGCATGCCTGCTTCTGTTCATTCATAATCCACTCTTTAAAAAAAAAAAAGTATATTTTTCCTTACCTGAGGATTTTTTTTTTTTAAATTGATTTTAGAGAGAGAGGAAGGGAGAGAGAGAGAAACATTGATGTGAGAAAGAAACATTGATCGGTTGCCTCTTGACTGGGGATTGAACCCGAAACGAAACCCAGGTATGTGCCCTGACCGGGAATCGAACCCACAACCTTTCGGTGTACGGGATGGTGCTCCAACCAGTCGAGCCACCCGGCCTGGGCATCACCCACTCTTCTATCAACCAATCCATGAATATCTTCTTCCTGCCTGCTGTGTGCTAGTCGCTATGATATGCACTGAACCTGCTGAGGTCTTTGTAAATACTTGCTCTCTATTTTTTTTAACAGTCAAGTTGGGTCTCCTGGCTTTCTATTGGTAAATAAAACTAGTTGGATTTCAACTGGAAAATTACTAACATTTTTTTGGTAGTGGAAATAAATTATTTTCATGGAGGTGCCATTGAATCAGCGGTGAAGGTTGAATGCTACTTTGATAGAACTTGTGTTTGCTAGAACTTCCTATTGTTGCCGGTTGATCTTAAAATAGCAATGATAATGGAGTAACTTGGAACTTCCAAATATAAATTTTATTGGTAATGAAAGAAGAGGTAAAGGAAATAGAGAAACTTTTATTACTCTGTTCATTCCTGCTTTTGCATTCTAAGTAACAATCTGATGCTAATGAAATTGAGCGCTAAGGGAACATTAGTTAGCAACAAATAGCTACTGCCTTGTGGCTTGATAGTTATTGGATATAATTTTAGTAACTCAAAACTATCTCAGGCTTTTTATATTAATAATATGACTATATGGAAACTATGACTTCTAATAATTTAAAATGGGCATAATGCAAGGTATTATTAGAACAAATGATAACAGGTATTGGATGCTAGAGGAGGGTGCTAACATCGTAGAGAGCTGTTACCCTTTGATACCTGGTCCCCTGTGGGTGAGGCAGAGGGAAAATTGATGTCTTCCGCCTTTCCAAGGATGCACTTGGACGTGTTGATTGCACAGGAAAATCTCTGCTATTCTTCTGTGATCCAGTCAGTCTCCAGCACACCCTGGACCCCCTGGAAGCTTTATTATCTGTTACACCGGAGCTGAGATGGACTGAAAATAGTCCTTTGATTTGCAGGAGTAGTGGATAATTCCTTGAGAAAATCAAGCCTTTCTTGTGTTTTAAAATTATGCCTAAAAATGCTGAAACGTTACTCAGTTGGCTCTCTTTTTATACTTTAAGCAGAAGGCTTCTTTGTTCTGGCACTCAGTGATATAGTGGACATGTGTGGAAAACAATTCCCTGTCATTTAAATTGCTGCTTTATATATACACGCGAGGGAAAAAGACTGCGTTTATCAGTAAATTAGTAGCAGCACTATGGCAATAAGCATGTTGAGATGTCTTTCCATCTGCCTCCCCTTGAAAATATTCCACTGATGCTACAGAGGTCATTGCTCCTTTGTGGAGCCCTCCTGAGTCTTATCTGAAGGGGTCATCTTGTTTGGGACACCATATCTGAGTCTCCATCAGCCTGGGTAATATCGTTTGCCCCACCCTGGTGATTTCCTGAGACCCTACCCCACCCAACCTGCAGGCCTACCAAAGCTTCTTCCAGGGGCTCTTCCATATGTACAGCTCATGCTACAGTCTCCTAAAATCTCTCAAAGGTTCACAAACCCCAAACAAGCAGCATCTGGCCTTAGGGTGCCCTGTACCTCTTGCTAAGCAGCCCTGAACCTGGCACTAGTGATAGCTGGCCTTGGTTCACACCTTGGCCTCTTCCAGGCACCTTCAAGATGAGCGTAAGTGGCAACCATCAGCAGATCACTTTGTAGCTCACACCAAGAGGCCCTGGGCAGGGCACCGGCAGCCGCTGACCTGGTCCTGCAGCAGAGACCCTCCCAGGAGGCCCCAGGAGTGACACACCCGATGACCCCCCCAGGCCCCACCAGAGCGCCACCCAGCTGCCTTCACAAATGACACACCCAAAGGGCAGATTCTGCAGGCAACAGAGCCCCCCTAAAGCAAATACTGCTCCGTGGGGTCAGCCCCTGCACAGCAGCTCCTCCATTGTAGTCACAGCCGGTCCTTAACAACCACCCAACCAGCCTGAGGGGCCACCCCAACCATAGATGTGCCAACAGCAATCGAGCCTCAGCTACAATAGGAAGGCACACAAAACCCAGACAAAGGACACACCTGGAGCACCTGTGCCCCACAGGACACCTGCTACATAAGGCCACTGTCCCAAGACTGGAGGACATAGCAGCTAAACCTAATACCTAGGAACAAACACGGAGGCAGCGAAAACGATGAGACAAAGAAACATGTCCCACGTGAAAGAACAGGACAAAACTCGAGAAAAAGAGCTAAAAAGAGACAAGCCATTTACCCGGTGCAGAGCTCAGAACACTGGTCCCAAGGATGCTCAGTGCTCCACCGAGCCACTTTTTAATGCTCGGTCTTGGCGTGATGTTTATTGTAATCGATACCGAACACGTTTTTTACTGGTCTCCTGGGCATTCTCTGTGTCAGGTGACAAAAATGCATCACAGCCTGGCTGGTGTGGCTCAGTGGTTGAGCACTGACCTAGGATCCACGAGATCAAGGTTCGATTCCCGGTCAGGACACATGCCTGGGCTGCGGGCTTGATGCCTGGAGTGGGGCGTGCAGGAGGCAGCCCATCGACGACTCTAATCATTGATGTTTCTCTCTGTCTCTCCCTCTCCCTCCCTCTCTCTCAAATCAATAAAAATATATTAAAGAAAAAAATGCATCACATATGAGTCCAATTCACCGCACAGAGCAGTCAACGTCTTCAAAACTGATCAAGACACACTGCTTAGGACTCAGCTAGAAAACTGGCACATCTGCACCCACTTGTCAAGTGTTTCATGAGGTTTAAAATATCTAAGCCTGCCTTTCTTACCTGGAATTCTGACCCTGCTGATGTGCACAGAGGAAAGGAGCTTCCTGTAGGAGTGTCTCAGCCAGTCCTATTTATAGGTTCCCTGAGTTCTGATCACTCTAGGGGGGCAGAGAGCTTTGCCCTCTTTTTGTCTGAATCCTGTGAGCTGTGGTCATCTTCTCTGCAGCTGGGGCCCGGGGCTGAGTTATCCTCATGTGTCCCGTGACTTGTGATTTGTCCAGCCATTTGATTTCTTTTCTGGAGACAACCCTAGATATTTATACAAATAAGAACCTTCCCCTTACTGTAAAACTTGCAGCATTTTGGATCTGAAACTAGACATGTTAAGTTCTATTTGATTATAATTGGCCTTCTCTGATTTTTTTCTTATTTATCTAGAATAAGCCATCAATATATGACGATACGTAATATGCAATAGCTCTGTATTTACTGACATTGTAAACTTAAGTAAATATTAATGTCTAGCTCTAGCTGTGCTTGTCAACAACCTCAATTCCTACTATTATTTCAATCGATAGATAATATGGGATTTCAGGGGAAGTTTATTAGATATGTCTGAGCTATAAGATCAGAAAAAAGTTGAACATAATGAGACTTCTTTTTAATTCTCATTTTTGCATAAGATATGTGGCTTGGAAGAAACAGAAATTTACATTGGTCCTGTTCAAATATAGCAATTATGGCCCTGGCTTGTGTTGTTCCGTGGTTAGCCATGGCTCATGCACTGAAAGGTCTTGGGTTTGATTCCCGGTCAGGGGCCCGTACTTGGGTTGCAGGTTTGATTCCTGGCCCTGGTTGGGGTGCATGCGGGAGGCAACCAATTGATGTGTCTCTCTCACATCGATGTTTTTCTCTCTCTCTCTCCCCCCCC